CATCTGCAAATAGAGATACTTGGACTTCTTCCCTACCAATTTGGATGCCCTTTATTTCTTTTTCTAGCCTAATTGCTCTGGCTAGGACCTCCAGCACGATGTTGAATAAGAGTGGTGATAAAAGGCATCCTTGTCTGGTTCCCATTCTCAAGGGGAATGCTTTCAAAGTCTCTCCATTTAGGATAATGTTGATGCCTTTTCATTTTTTTTAACCGGGTCTTTTGCAGAACAAGTGTTTTTAATTGTGATAAATTCCAATTTATCAAGTTTTCCTTTTTATGATGGTGCTTTTTTGGTTTAAGAACTCTTTGCCTAGCTCCAGGTCCTGAGGATTTTTTCCTACTTTTTTTTTTTCCTAAATGTTTATGGTTTTATATTTTACATTTAAATCCCTGAGGTATTTTTTAAAATTTTGTTGTACTTTAAGTGAAAGTTTACAGTTCAAGTTAGTCTCTCATATAAAAATTTATACATACATTATTATATGACACTAATTGCTCTCCCTATACTGTGACAGCACATTCCTCCTTTCCATCCTGGATTTCCTGTGTCCATTCAGCAAGCTCCTGACCCTCTCTGCCTTCTCATCTCACCTCTGGATTGCAGCTGCCCATTTAGTCTCATGTGTCTACTTGAGCTAAGAAGCACACTCTTCACAAGTATCATTTTATGTTCCATAGTCCAGTCTAATCTTTGTCTGAAGAGTTGGCCCCTGAGCTATTTTGAGTTAATTGTTTAAAATTATATGTGAAACTTAGATTGAAGCACTTTTTTTTTTTGGCCTGTGACTATCCAGTTGCTCCAGCACAAATTTTTTCTCAGTATCTTTCCTCTGTTGAGTTGCTTTTGCAACTTTGTCAAAAATCAATAGGGCAATGGAAACCTAATTTGCTGTGTAAACTTAAACTGAAAAAACTATAAAATATTATTTTTTTAAAAAAGCCAATTGGGCATATCTGGGTGGGTGTATTTCAGGGTTCTGTATTCTGTTCCATTGATCTATGTGTCTATCCTTCTGCCAATACTACCCAATCTTGATTATTGTAGCTATATTTAAGTCTTGAAATTGGGTAGCCTGATTCCTCCCAGTTTATTCCTTTTTTTTCCTTTCTAAAATTGCTTTAGCTATTCCAATTCCTTAACCTTTCCACATAAGTTTTAGAATAATCTTACTTATATTTATAAAAATTCTTGAGGGGATTTTGATAGGAAATGTGTTAAACGTGTATATCAATTTGGGAACTATTGTCATATTTACTATGTTGAGTCTTGAACATACCATACCA